TGACAAAAAAACGCAAAAAATACAAAAATACCCTCAATTCGAAAATTACTAAAATAATTAAAAAAAAACTATCTAAACGACCCCGAATCGCGAAAATCCATCGTTAGTCATAGCCAAAAGTTACGAGTATTGATGAGCACGCCGTTTCGCTTTAGTCGACCAAATTTGAGCTCAATCCGACATCGTTGACTTCAAGCTCGTCGGTTCGTCCAGTCGCATAACCGGTCCGCCGGTCTCCTAGGTGCATCAATGGATCTCAATGCTCTTTGTATCTCTCGCGAGTTTCACATTTGTTAAGCTCATTCACTATGCACTGTCATGCCCCGAACCCCCATCGAGCTCGCGACATCCCACTCTGGTCGAATAGTTGCGACGTCCCAGGAACGTCGCCAACCCAACCTAAACATCAGAAGCACATGCGGAAGCGAATATATAAAACCCCTGACTATAAAGACGACGATGGGGTAGCTCAACCAGACAGTCAAATAACAACAATATTCATTTATACATTATGCCAAAGCATTATACATACAAACATCATATTATACACGAGCTTAACAACCAAGCATTCACAACCACCGACATAACAAAATATCAGATGGTTTGGTTAACTTAACTTCACTATAGATCGACCTAACCAACAAAAGGTAATTGGTCAGACTTATTGTATGCAATCCCTAAAAAACCCTAGGGGAAGCCTACCAGTCGCCCTCTTTCACTCTGCTTCGGCGTCTTCTGGCTCGGGCCCCCAGAAGATTACTTGGACCACGACACGGGGAAATCGCCTGCAACTCCACTGGGCTCCATAGGCGACTCCTCAAAACTCCAAAAAGAGGAGGCGGGCCTCCTGGGTTTAAGGCTGGGGGTCTGAAAATGGTGGTTATATAACTGTGAGACGAATCTCAATAAGTGTACAACCCCAAACCCCACATAGGCTCTCACGTACCGCCAGACGAAACACGCATAATACACAGCAATCAACCATACTAACAAACACATATGATCCTACCTGGGATCCATCATGCACGTTCCTGCACATTAGATAACAACACCGCCAACATACCACAGTAATACATCACAGTCGCGCGCGTGCCTCGATTATAAGGCAAAACCCACTTGGGCACGTCCCATACCATGCCTAGCAGTTTTTACCCCATAGTCGAGTACCACAATATCCGATACCAACCACACTCGCACACGAACTCATGCCATGCACCAATGCTCACACGTCAAACTAATTCCAGCTCATTCTGAACTTTCCAACACTACCGCGCCCGCGTAAAACGCATCAGGCCAACGGTCTTCTGACCTCGTCAGGCATCGTCACCCCGTCCGGCCGGGCATCGTCACCTCGTCAGGGACGGCATCGTCCCGCGTAAACGAACATGCCTCAGGACGGAATCCTACACTCAAATTTCCTTCTACCGCGCCCGCGTAAAACGCATCAGGCCAACGGTCTTCTGACCTCGTCAGGCATCGTCACCCCGTCGGGCCGGGCATCGTCACCTCGTCAGGGACGGCATCGTCCCGCGTAAATGAACACGCCTCAGGACGGACTCACCCCGCGTAAACGAACACGCCTCAGGGTATCACTTTTCCAACCAATCCTACATTCTCGTACCTTCGTTCCACACATTCCACACGTACCACACGGCCACACATACACACAGCCATACACAATCCCACGCCACACATGCCTTACGCCAACACACATTACCATCACACAATCACGTCACACGGCCACACATGCTTGGCACGCGGTCACACACAATTTCTCGCTCATAAAAATAAACATCCATAGAATCGGGGTAAATCTGGGCAGTTTACACAGTGATCGAAATCCCATCAAAATAAATAGTAAACGAACTCCAAAAATTCTAAAATTTGGATATATCATAAAAAACATCTTGATCAACATTTCTTATGAAAAACAGGAAATCCGGTTCAATCTTCAACCATGCCTTTTTGTCCCTCGAAATCAGACCAAAATCAGTTCTCTCTAATAGACAATTTTGCCCTCAAAATGCTTTTATTTCAACACCCAAATCACCTTGAAAAGCTTTGCAATTTTTATATGTCATAGAAAAGAGAGTCGCCAACAAATTTTGTGAAGGAATTTTATTGAAAATAAATCTGAAAAATTTTATAAAAATTCGGCAAGACACGAAGGTTGGGATGAACAGTATTCCGGGCAGTTTCAAGACGGTCTGAAAATGGGTTTTCGTACGACCCAAATGGCCTCCAAAAATTCCAAATTTAAAAATATGTTATACGTCAAGATGTTGGGAGCAACTTTCATGAAGAAAAATTCCTCAAATTCGGCCCCCAAAATTCTCCACAAAATGGTAAACCGGACGGGTACAGTAGTCACGAATCCGAGAATCACACCAAACCTCACGGATTCAAACCGTAATCGTTCCATATCATCATGGCCCTATCGGAACCTCCCAAACCTCGCATTTTCCATCGATAAATCAGTCCACAACCACCAAATACTCAGCCCTCATCACAGTCCCAAAACAGCCACTAAGTTCACCTAAATCGAGTCCTAAACGTGTTTAACAATACCCGAGGTCCTAGGTAACGTTTGGGAAAGTCACTTACTTTGAAAAGGCGGACAAACGGGCTAGACAAGGGGCTGGAATGACCGGACCAGCGGCGGTGGCGGCGGCGAACGGCGGTGCTCCTCCGGCGGCGATGATCACGGCAAGGAAACGAGAGAGAGAGAGAGAGAGAGAGAGAGAGAGAGAGAGAGAGAGAGAGAGAGAGAGAGAGAGAGAGAGAGAGAGAATTTTTGGGGAGAGAGAGGGAGAAGAATGGAGAAGTGGCAGTGGGAAATGGGGGGGTGAATGAATGAGAGAAAAACAAATATATTAATGGGTCAAAGAGATTTGATCAACATTTCAAAATTCCCAAAATGCCCTTGATCACTTGGCCCACATTAATCTCTATTCAATAATTGAGGGGCGCTTTGGTCATTTCTAGGGCTGAATTATTGGGCTGAAACAACCTTAATTTAATTCCCCTAATTATCCAAAAATTCGGACCCCAAAATAGCCTAGGGGCAAAATAGTCATTTTTCCGGTCCCAATCCGAAATCCATTTTTTTGCAGAAATGGGTGGCCCCAGGGTTGGCCAAGCCAAAAACGTCATCGGCCGCTCAAAATTGTCACTTTCAAAATTCTCAATTCCCGGGCCCTGATAACTCTATAAAAATAGAGTTATTTTATCTACTCTAGGCAATAAATAATGCAATATTTGTTAGAATATATTTGGATTTCCTTTTATTTACTTAATTTTTTCTTGTTTATGCAGAATATTGAGATATGGAGAAAATAAGGAAAATATGGCAAAAAGAAGGAAAGGAATATGCAACCCAGAGAAAAGTTAGAAGGTGGATATCACATTGGGAATTCTGTGATTTATTCCCTAATTTTATACGAAAAAGAAGCAATTGCCTTGTGAGAGGAGTCTTGGATGTTATCATATAAATATGATAACTTGGGGGAACATGGAGTTTTTTTTAGATCGTTTTTGTTTTCAGTGTTCTGAGAGTTTTTCAAGTATTTTGAAGAGAAGACAAAAGTGGTGACAGAATTCTTGTTCTTTGATTCAAGATGTTTGGTTTAATTTCTATTGTCGTTTCTTCTTCTATTATGTTCTAATTTTCTTTGTTAGAGCTACGATGTAGCCTAACCATGATGATATGAATTTCATGCTTTTTATGCTTTGCAAGTAATTTCATTCATGTGAGTTATATATTATTGTGCTTAATGCGTTTAGGTGATTGGCCACCACTTGAATGATCCGATGTGCATGTTTGAGACTGAGAAGTAATAATATGCAATTGCTCCTTATAATATATAACCATCATTAAATGTGGATAGAAATATACCATGTTATTTGTGTAGCTTTCGGTGATAAGGTGGTCCAAAAGATTCATTGTAAACCGGGAATATTCACAGATTTTAATGCGCTTATGTTTATTTAAATTCACATAGAAATATAGTGAATTGATAAATTGAGTAGGTTTGCTATACCTAGAGATAGGATAGTAAATAGACTCGGAAATTCCCCTATCACATGTTTGATATTGTTCTTGTATGCATAATGATCCGAAATTCATATCTAGCGGTTATGGTGAAATCGGATGCTCTAACATATTTTACCTGATTGATTATCTGTCTTTAGTTTAAAAAATTTCGTTTTTAAAAATTGTCAATTTTTATTTGTTCTCAATTATATTTTGATCAGTTAGATAAATTTTAGAATTAGTCCATTTTTAATATTTAATTGGTTTATTATCATCAATCTCTGTGGGACGATGCTCTTCTCATCATTATATTACTTGTTCAACACGTTCGTTGACACGTGCAGAATTTTACGAACAAGTTTTTGGCGCCGTTGCCGGGGATTGATTTGATAATTATCAATTAATATTAATACCGAGCAATTCTTGGTTTAGTCTAACATTATTTTTTTATTTTTTTATTTTAATTTTATTAGTTTGATTTTACAGAAAAAAAAAAAGAAGAAAGAGGAATTCGACTCTGTACAAGAATTGGGTGGAATATTGCATGACTCGAAGCCAACAGGGAGAACTTGATAAGTTTGATCCTGAAATTGAGCGCACTTTTCTAAGGCGACGACGAGAGCAAAACAACAACACCATGGCTGAAAACCAACAGGGAGAAGAAAATCCAAGGAGGACTTTGAAGGATTATGCTGCACCTACGGTCCAAGGATCAACATCAAGCATTAGGAGGCCAACCATACAAGCTAACAATTTCGAAATTAAGCCTTCCCTAATTCGGATGCTTCAAAACGCAGTCAATTCGGTGGATTGCCGAATGATGATCCTAATATCCATTTAGATGCTTTTCTTGAAATTTGTGACACTATAAAATATAATGGCGTTACTGATGATGCCATTAGATTGAGATTATTCCCTTTTTCCTTGCGTGATAAAGCTAAGACGTGGTTAACTTCTCTTCCTGCAGGATCTATCACGACTTGGAATGACATGGCTCAAAAATTCCTTAGTAAGTACTTTCCTCCTGCTAAGTCTGCCAAGATGCGTAACGATATTACTTCTTTTGTACAGATGGATGGTGAATCTCTGTACGAAGCTTGGGAGAGGTTTAAAGAACTATTAAGGCGTTGTCCGCATCATGGCCTACCAGTTTGGATGCAAGTGCATACATTCTATAATGGAGTGATGCCGAATTTGAGGTCTACCATTGATGCCGCAGCTGGAGGGACGTTGAACAATAAATCGCCTGAGGAAGCCTTTGATCTTTTGGAGGAGATGGCGGCTAATAGCTACCAATGACCGATTGAGAGGCTATCTGCTAGAAAGTCGAGTGGAATTCATGAAGTCGGTGTCAATACTACCATTGCCGCAGAGTTTGCTGCTTTAAACAAAAAGATCGACTCAGTGTTGAAGATTCAAGGCCCGACTTGTGAATTTTGCAATGGAAGCCATGCTAGCACCGAATGTCAGGTAGGTAATCCGTTCACACATCCTCCTGAAAATACTAACTTTGTTGGAAATTTTAGCAGGCCTCCCCAGAACAATCCATATTCAAACACCTATAATCCTGGATGGCGAAACCACCCGAATTTCTCCTGGAGCAACCAAAATCAGCAAGGGCCGAGACCACCACCACCATCATTTAGGCCGCCTGAGGAGAAACAACACAATCACCTTGAGGAGATGGTTACTAAGCTAGCTCAAACAACTCAAGACTTCATTAAAAGTGCTGATGTGAGGTTCCAAAATCAGGAGGCATCCATTCGAAATCTGGAGAAGCAGGTTGGCCAGTTAGCTAACCATTTGTCTGAAAGACCGTATGGTACCCTTCCGAGCAACACTGAGAAGAATCCAGTTGAGAATGCAAAAGCAATCACCTTGAGGAGTGGAAAAGAAGTTAGCAGAAATTTGTCTAATGAAGCAGCAAGAAAGAAGAAAGAAATCGAACCACCCGGAGCCGACGCACCCGAAATTGAACCCTCCAAAGCTGATCCACCTCGAAGCAAGTTATTTCCGGACAATCCAAAGCCATATGTGCCGCCAGTTCCATACCCGGAAAGACTTCAGCAACACAAAATAGATAAGCAGTTCTCTAAATTCCTTGATGTTTTTAAGAAATTATACATTAATATTCCTTTTGCAGATGCCTTAGCCCAGATGCCTAGTTATGCGAAATTTTTGAAGGAAATTTTGGCAAACAAACGGAAATTGGAAGATTATGAGACTGTGAAGCTTAATGAGGAATGTTCAGCTATTTTGCAGAATAAGTTACCACCAAAGTTGAAAGATCCAGGGAGTTTTACTATTCCTTGTACTATTGGTAATTCTTATTTTGATAAGGCATTGTGTGATTTAGGTGCAAGTATTAATCTAATGCCTTATTCTGTTTTTAGGAAATTAGGTTTGGGGGAAGCAAAAGCTACCACCGTATCTCTTCAGTTAGCCGATCGATCGATCAAATACCCAAAAGGCATAGTGGAGGATGTTCTAGTTAAGGTTGACAAGTTTATTTTTCCTGCAGATTTCATTGTCTTAGAGATGGAGGAGGATTTCGAGGTCCCGATCATCCTAGGCCGACCTTTTCTAGCAACAGGGAGAGCTCTAATTGATGTGCAACAAGGAAAATTAATTCTTAGAGTTCAAGATGACCGAGTCACCTTTGATGTGTTCAAAGCCATGAAATATCCTGCTGAGCCGAATGAATGTTTGAGAGTCGATGCAGTTGATAGGCTTGTGGAATCAATTTTTAGTAAAGCCACAATTGAAGACTCGTTGGAGGCATGCTTGGTTTGGCCAAGCAAAGAAGAAGCCAAAGCTATAGAGGTCGAGCAGTACACGAAATTTTTGGAAGCAAATCCACCTCTTCCAAGATTTAGACCACCGAAATTCGAAAAATTAGGATCGAATTTGAAGAAACCGAAACCCTCTATTGAAGAACCACCAATTCTAGAACTCAAATCTTTACCATCTCATCTTAAATATGCTTTTCTTGATGGAGTGTCCTCTCTTCCAGTAATTATTTCTTCTTCTTTGACAGGTGTGATGGAGGAAAAGTTACTCCGAGTCCTGAGAGATCATAAAGGAGCAATAGGATGGACCATTGCAGATATTAAAGGAATAAGCCCCTCGATATGCATGCATAAAATATTGATGGAAGAGCAATTCAAACCGATCATCCAACCCCAAAGGAGGCTCAATCCAAAAATGCAGGAGGTGGTGAAGGCTGAGGTAATTAAGCTACTTGATGCAGGGATCATCTATCCTATCTCTGACAGTGCTTGGGTAAGTCCTGTGCAAGTTGTTCCAAAAAAAGGAGGTATGACTGTTCAACCTAACGATGATAATGAATTGATTCCTACTAGAACAGTTACTGGATGGCGTGTTTGCATGGATTATAGAAAATTGAATGATGCCACCCGTAAAGATCACTTTCCTTTGCCTTTTATTGATCAATTATTGGAGAGACTTGCAGGGCATGAGTTTTACTGCTTCTTAGATGGATATTCTGGTTATAATCAAATCCCTATTGCACCTGAGGATCAAGAAAAAACTACTTTTACTTGTCCCTATGACACTTTTGCCTATAGGAGGATGCCTTTTGGTCTTTGTAATGCGCCTGCTACTTTTCAAAGATGCATGATGGCTATTTTTTCTGACATGATGGAAAAATATATTGAGATATTTATGGATGATTTTTCTGTTTTTGGCTCATCTTTTGATTCATGCTTGAATAATTTAGCTTTGGTGTTACAAAGATGTGAGGAGACTAACCTTGTCTTGAATTGGGAGAAGTGTCACTTTATGGTGCAGGAAGGGATTGTGCTAGGCCATAAGATCTCTATAAGAGGAATTGAGGTGGACCGAGCCAAGATTGAAGTTATTTCAAAACTGCCGCCTCCTACCTCTGTAAAGCTTGTTCGAGGATTTTTGGGACATGCAGGATTTTATAGGCGTTTCATTAAAGATTTTTCTAAGATTGCTAGACCCCTTTCTAAATTGTTGGAAAAAGATTCTAAATTTGACTTCTCTGATGATTGTTTGCAGGCATTCAACACATTGAAGGAGAAGTTAATTTCGGCCCCTATCATGACTGTGCCTACTTGGGATTTGCCTTTCGAGTTGATGTGTGACGCTAGTGACTCGGCTGTTGGAGCTGTACTCGGACAAAGAAAGGATGGAATTTTTCGAACCATATACTATGCAAGCCGCACCCTGTCTGGAGCTCAATTGAATTATGCCACAACTGAAAAGGAGCTTTTGGCGGTAGTGTTTGCTTTTGATAAATTTCGCTCTTATTTGATTGGTTCCAAAGTCATTGTTTACACTGACCACTCTGCTCTTAAGTATTTGCTTGAAAAGAAAGATTCAAAACCTAGGTTGATTAGGTGGATCTTACTGCTGCAAGAGTTTGACTTGGAAATCAAAGACAAGAAAGGGAAAGAAAACTTAGTGGCCGACCATCTCTCTCGATTGCCGAATGCCCCTGTGGAAGAAAGACCAATCCTAGATGAATTTCCTGATGAGGCACTTTTCTCGGTCAAAATCGAAACCCCTTGGTATGCTGATTATGTTAATTTCTTGGTAAGTAAGGTTCTCCCTTCTGAATTGACTTATCAACAAAGGAAGAAATTCTTTTCTGATGTTAAATACTATTTTTGGGAGGATCCTTTCTTGTTTAAGGTATGTGCTGATCAAGTTATTAGGCGATGTGTTCCCAATGAAGAAATACCTAACATTCTTTTTTATTGCCATGATGGACAGGCAGGTGGTCACTTCGGTGCCTCCAAGACTGCAGCTAAGGTTTTACAATCTGGATTTTATTGGCCCACACTTTTTTAAGATGCTTACTCCTTTGTAGCTTCATGTGACCGGTGTCAGAGAACTGGAAATATTTCTAGAAAAAATGAGATGCCTTTAAACAACATTATTGTGTGTGAATTATTTGATGTTTGGGGTATTGATTTCATGGGACCCTTTACATCTTCTTATGGTAATTTATACATATTAGTGGCTGTGGAGTATGTGTCTAAGTGGGTAGAAGCTGTAGCATTGCCAAAAAATGATGCTAAGGCTGTTGTCAAATTCTTGAAGAAAAATATTTTTACGCGATTTAGCACTCCTAGGGCAATCATAAGTGATAGGGGGACACACTTTTGCAACAAACAGTTTGAAGCACTTTTGAGTAAGTATGGAGTCACACATAAGGTTGCAACCCCTTATCATCCTCAGACTAGTGGTCAAGTAAAGGTTTCAAATAGGGAAATCAAGAGAATTTTAGAAAAAACAGTGAATGCCTTTAGGAAAGATTGGTCAATGAAACTTGATGATGCACTTTGGGCCTATAGGACAGCATTCAAAACCCCAATTGGGATGTCTCCTTTTAGGCTAGTGTTTGGGAAGGCTTGTCATCTACCAGTAGAATTAGAGCACAAAGCATATTGGGCATTGAAATTTCTGAATTTTGACATGCAGTCTGCAGGTGAAAGAAGATTGTTGCAACTAAATGAATTGGAGGAATTTCGCAATGAGGCCTATGAAAATGCTAAGATGTACAAGGAGCGTACCAAAAGATGGCATGATAAACACATATTCAGAAGAGAGTTCGAAATTGGCCAAAAAGTTTTACTTTATAACTCTCGTCTTAAACTTTTTCCAGGAAAGTTATGTTCTCGATGGTCTGGTCCTTATACAGTCACACAGGTATTTCCATACGGAGCAGTTGAAGTTGCACATGACACCGAAGGCACATTTAAGGTGAACGGTCAACGTTTGAAGCCCTACTTCGAAGGTAGTTACAACAAGCAGAAGACCACTATTGAACTTCATCCTCCAGAATAACGACATCTGAGATAGTTTGGCTGAAAACTATAAAGCAAGCGCTTCTTGGGAGGCAACCCAAGCATTTTTATTATGTTTCTTCATTAATGTTTACGTTCATTTTTTTTCAAAAAAAAAAAACATGATTAATTTTTTTTTATCCAGGTTAATTTTCTTTTTTGAAGGATCACCTTTTTGGAGTTTAGTCATCAAGACCATCCATGGACACATCCGACAGCAAGGGGAGTTTTCTTGTTCCTATTTTTCTTTTGTTTCTTTTGTATTTCACATTGAGGACAATGCTTCATTCAAGTTTGGGGGGAGACAAAATTTTTGCTCAAAATTTTTTTGCTAAATCTGAATTTGTTTTTTTTTTTTTTTGCATTCCTTGTTGTGAATTTTTGCGATTCTTAGGAAAATTTAAATTTTGTTCAAACTTGCGAATGATATGTGAGTTAATTTTGATTCTGATGATGTCGATC